GAGCTGCTCTGGCAGATTAACTGAGCCCAAGGAGGGGGTCATAGAAACTCCAATCTACAGCTGGTTGGTCAGTGTGTCAGTTGGTCGAATGGTCAGAAGCACAGGTGACTACCTGGACTTGAGACTGGCTTCTGAAGCCGCTGGAAGGTGGGGACAGTTTTGTAGGACTGAGCCCTTCACTTTTGGAGTCGGATGCTCTCACCAGGGAGATAGTGTCAGAATTGAGCTAAAGTGCAGGACACGCAGGTGGTGTCAGAGGCTTGCTCTGTGTGGGGAAGCCTCTTACCAGCTCTCCCCACACACTCGCACACTGGAATCAGTCACCAGAACTTTCACCTGCTTAAAACCTTTCCCCAAGTTCCTGCTGCCCTCTCATCGCTGTTCCCTTTTACAGCCTTAGAAGGCATGTGAGGTGCCTTCTTCCTTGCTAATCTTGCCTCTCCCCAAATTCCCTCTCATTCTCTGTACACTGACCACCGCATCCACGGTGAGCTCTCCCTGGTCTCTGGGCCAGGGCACATGCAGACCCTCTCCACTTCTCCTCCCCTGCCGGGACTGGCTATACTTCCCACATCTTTCAAGACTGAGCAATGGCACTGCTTCTGCAGAGACATCTTTCGGGTGCCCTGGCCTGGCATCTCTGTGCTCCCCAGCACCTGGGCTCCCCTTTGGCAGCACATTCTGGACTCACACTGGCAAACTCCATGAGGGTGAGGATGGTGCCTATCACACTTGCCACTAGATCGCTAGCCCTGGCACAGTCTTGTTTGGGGTGAGACATGTATTTTTTTACATTTTTCTACATACCTTGTCCTTAACATATTTTCTCTATTGTTTTCTATATATTTCTCTCCCCACAAAAGTGAGAATCATAGAACTGGAGGCCATACCCCATTTGATGCTCCTCATTTCTCTTAAGACCACAGTGCAAATTCACCTAAAAGAAGTGGTGATTTATTATTCATTTGTTATAAGGCGTCTCTAGCTGTTTAATAGAGCCATAGAGATTTTTCAAGACAAAGTGCGTTGGTTTGTAAATCCCTTTACCTCAGAAAGACATTTTTTATTACTTTGGGACACAAAGTAATTAATCAGTAAATTTAAGTCATTTGGGACACAGTAATTTAATTAGTTTGGGACACAGAAAATCATCAGTGTTAGAAACGAAGTCTTCATGGTCCACAGACACTGGCAAAGCTGATGTCCTGTCCTTGCCTGTGAGCGAGCAGCGGTAGGGAAGGTGCTGGCCAGCTGCCTGAAAGTAGGCTTAGGCCCCTCCCAATGGAGGCTACTCCCCAGAAATAATTTCTGTTGTTTAAGAAGCAATTATGACTCTCAAGATCTTAGATCTAAAAAAAGTTCCCCGTATAGAACCCAGTAAGCCAAATGAGTTCTAATGGACATTCTCGTTTAGCTGCTCAGTGTCCAGATATCCTTCTCATTTGCGGGCAGTCCCAGATAGGAAGGTGCACAGCCTCATCCCTCATTAGAGAAGCTGGACGGGGACAGATATTCCCATTTCCCGACCCTCTGCAGCTAGAGCCCAAGCAGGCCAACAAGATATTCCTGCTGGGAACTCAAAATCCCCACATTAAGGTATAAGGTGTATGCATGCAGAGAGAGAAATTTTTCACAGCACCTCCAGTAGTGTGTCCTGCCTGCCAGTGGCCAGTAGCGATGGCTTCAAGAGCGGCATCTTTAACAGATTGTCCTTCAGCAGGATTTCCTCCCTGGCCTCTTCCCTGCCTTCCTGAAGACCCAGTGGGCTGTCTGTTATTTCTCCAATACTTTCCTTCTCCATATGAGACACCCAGAGGTCTGTTGTCCGGAGACAGGAACTCCGGCAGGTAAATTCACTATCAGACTCCCACCAGGCCCATCCCTGGAGCTGTTGGCATGGCAGGTAAGGAAGCTGGTTGTGATAGAAGGAAGCCCACACCTGGCGCCTAACTGACTGCAGGCTAGAAAATCATTAAACTCTTCAGTTTCTTACTATATAAAATGGCCAAATGATCATCTTCCTATCTATTCTGAAGGGATGCTGTAGGGATCAAGTGAGATAATGTCTACAGCAAGGGACTTTGTACATAGAAAGTAATGCAAATGGGAGGATTATTAAGGATTAGCTAGCAAATAAGTTAGGCAGAGGCAAAAACAAATTGGAACTAGAAATCAGCCCACTTTCAGCCGACGATCACTCCTTCCTTACGACTTGAAATATCTCTGCAAGATTTCCCCTGTATCAGGAATCAGCTCTGATAGAGCATTTTCAGTGTTTGTGTGGAGAAGGCTCAGCATCAAATCTTAGGTCACCCTTTGGGGCTTGTATAGGAACTCTTAATAACCTCAACAGCTTTTTGGAAGAAGAATATAATGTTGTAAATAGATTTTTAAACAAACATCACGTATTTAGCATTCAATAGTAATTAAATACTTATTTAATATTTTTCTGATCTATGGGAATTCCTATTAGTCAGTTAGGAAAGGATTTGATTTGGAAGATAAATTCTGTTGGAAGAAAGGTGAAAGCCTTAAGATGTACTGAATCTTCAGGATAGAAGGGGCTCTTTGGGCCAAAGGCCCAGAAGAATACAGCTAGAGGAGCCCTAGGCTTGCCAGCTGCCTTCAGAGAAGTGGACGAGGATGTCTTTTGTTCATTCACCAAGCATTTGCTCAGCAGCTGGGTTCTGTGTTAATCAGTGAGATGCAGAGATGGACAAGACACAGTCCTTGCCCTGAAGGGAGGCTTCAGAGGACCTGGATGTTGCTTCTAAGTCACCTCAATCTTAGAATCAGTGTGTACAGTGGAGTCCTGGGCTGGCTCATATGTCTCCTTGTAAATGCTTTATTATTTCAGGCATCAGAGTTTTTCTCACTAGCTGGACTTGAAGTGCAGACATCCTCACACACAAACAAATTGTCAAATTCAGTTTTCTTTCTCAAGGCTGGCATTGCTGAAAAAGCGTAACTTTGAAATCAGAAGCAGTAGAGCTTCAAATTCCACTGTCACTGCTGATTATCTGTGTGATCTTGGGCTAGTGATTTAATTTCCCTGAGCTTTCAACCCAACAAGGTCGTTGTTAGGATTCAGTTAAGTTGTAGGGAGGTGTCCAGTGCAATACTTGGGGCTAAGCAGATACTCACTAAATGGTAGGCATTTTAGCCCTAATTCTCCACTGTTCTTGCTTCCTTGGGACCCTCTTGGGAAGCTTCTCCTGCAGAAGCCTTCACCTCTTCCCAGGCTGGACTAATGATGGCCTCTCCTTTGCATCCATGTGGTTCCCCAGGACTCATCATTAGCACTTTCCATGTCCTACTGGAAATAACCTATTTATGTGTCTCTCTCCCCTCATGAGGCTACATGCTCACTAAGGACACAACTATTTCTTTCATGCTGTATCCTCAGCATGTGGCTTTGGCACTTAGTAGGTGCTTAGTCGATGTCTGCAGATTGGTTTTATGTGAATAGGTTAGTAAGTTGTACGTAAAGAATACCCTTTATCTAATGCTCCAATGAACTCCTTCATGATTTGCACTTCTGTTTGAGGAAGATCTTTCCAGGTTGAGCAGGATAGTTTTTCAGTCTTAGGTATTTGGGTTCCCCTCCACCTAAACCCTGAGCTCCACAAGAAAATGTAACTTCTCCCAAATAAAACACACACATGAGTTTCTCTGGAGATGAGTTTAAGGCAGAATTTCTTTTTTCTTAATAAGTTGAGCAATGAGAAGTTTATTTAAAGCAAAAAGGTGTACACTCAAAGAAAGGTAAGTGTGGGCTACCTCAAAGAAGAGGTGCACTTAAGGGTTTAGGGTTTAGGATTTTATAGGCAGTTGAGGATTTTCAGGAATGCAACAAAGGGCTAGGTGCGGTCTGGCCAAATTTTCCCAGAATGTTCATCTTTGTTAAGACAGTAAGTTTCTTTTTCTTTTTTAACTTAACACAAGAAATAGACTGCTTTGATTCCTTTCCAGGATATCAGCTTCTGTCTGGAAGCATATCAATTAAGACTGTCTGCCCTGCCTCCAATGTGGGCTGAGCCACCATCCATTTGATTAAAATGCAATCTTAGCTTTAAGACAGAATTCTTCCTGAAAAAGCTGGGCCTTTTAGCAGGTGCTGAAGGTAATCTTATGATGGCTTGTTCTAACTGACACAATGAAAACATAGGCTATGCTGATATACTTTTCTTTATCTGGGGAATATTCAAACTTCTAGGCCTAGTTGTTCCTGCCCTTTTAAGCTTTCTATTTTTAACTGGTTAACTCTTTAAGTCCCTTCTAGTGGGCTTACTGGCCTTATTCTCTTTCCACCCCACTCTTATCTGTTTTCCTAAGGCAGAATTTCTAACAGTGTGTTCCATTAGATGGTAATTCATATTCCAGGGGTGGGGGAAGATTCTTTAGTTTAAGGTTAGAAAATGCTCTCATGGCATTTATTTGCTGTAGGACTTCTCAGATCCTTTATTTGACCATTTCACAGACCTGGTGTTATATAGAACACATTTGTAGAAATATCTCTTTGAGGAAAACTGGGACTGGTTATCACTGAATTTCAGACCTTAGGAGGCTGCTTAAAGCTGAGTCCTTGAGTGGGTTCCTACTGGAGTTCTGACTTTAAGTGCGCATTTCCTAATGTAGAGTTTTTATTGCATCTCTACAACTTGTGATACATTGTATATTAATGACCTTGAATAAGCAGTACTTAAGGAGTGTATCAGAAAATAGCAAAGTTAATTTTTCTTTCCTACTAGGCACATAAAGTTTATTGAATTTTTTCATTTGATGTGTAGCACACAGCCAGATTCTATGTCAGACAATGGGGAAGTAGCTCTAAGGGGAGCTTGGGGGTAATCCATGAGTTTTCTGGTCCCTGTTAGGTAACAGAAGGCCTTTGTTCAGTCTAAGTATCTTTGCAGAGGAGCTTCAGTGCACAGACACGTGCACAGACACCTGGTGAGAGTCCATACCCACTAACATGGCTATTCCTTTTGTTAAAACAGTGAGACACTTTGGTGTGTGTTGTGAGTAAACAGCAGCTGCTCGGAGCCCTCCCACGTGACCCACAGCCCTGGCTGCCTGTAAGTTCCCACTTCCGCACAGTCCTGCAGCCATGGACCTATGGCCATTCATCATATGGGCTGGTGCTAAATTGTATGTGCCAAGTTGCTAAACATCTTAAATAGTATCCCTAGAGTATTGGAGAGGAAGGAAAGGCCACGGTGGCTGGGGCATAAAGAGAATGGGGGAACAAGTGGACACGAGGCCAGCGAGGCAGGCGGGGCCAGACCCTGTGAAGCCTTGTGGGTCGTGTTAAGAATTTTGGATTTTTTCTTAAGAACAACAGAAAGCCAGGGAAAGGTTTTAAGGAAAGGGGAGAAATGACATAATCAGATGTGCTTTTGAACAGGCTCACTCTTCCCAAAGGCTGGAAGCTTGTGATGGGGATGTTTGTGTGTCCTGGAAAACCTGTAGGAATAAGGGACTTAGGGAAATTCCCAGGCCCTGCTGAAGCCCTGCCCTCTGGCCGGTGGGCCAGTGGTCAGCCTGGATGGTGGGCTCTGCAACTGAGGCAAAGGTAAGTCTTTCCCCTGGAGCCTCTTCACAGGCCCTACTGCTTTTATTTGAGGCAGTCAGGGGAGCTGTGGGCCCTGAGGTGGGCAGGAAGACAAGTCCAGTAAGGAAGTCTGAGTGGGCGCCACAGTTTGAGAGGCAAAAGCCAGAGACTGAGAGAGTGGAGTTCAACAGAGAAAGCAAATGCCTGGAACAGGCACACAGGTTCTGAGGCAGCCTTTGTATAGTTTCTGGGCCAGAAACCTGAATTTAATTAGTCAGGGTTAGGTCAAGAAGTTCTCATCAGTTCAAAGTATCTGTTCCACTTCCACTTAGTAGATTTCATTGCAAAGTTGCTTAGCAGGGTCTCTTGGCTGACACCAGACCCCGAAGGCTCTGAAACCTTGATGAGAAGGAGCAGGGGTGGGTGTGGGGGCTGAGGGGAGGCTGGGAATGGGACAGGTGGGACTCAGGGAAAATGCATGTTGTTTAATGTCTTTTAAGCTAAATTTATGCAGTATTCCCTTCAGCAATTATTGTTTCTTTGAGCAAATTTTAAGACAGGCCCTTGCTTATAAAGCTGCATGCAAAGGACAGATCTGCCCATTTCCTTGGGGGGAAGCTGTGAAATAACCCTTAACCTGAATGCAGATGCTGACTCATCCCCATCTGGAAACAGATCCTGCTGTGTCTCAGGTAGTGGTGGTCCCTGAGTCTTGCTGGCCTTCGTTTGGGGAGGAAGGTGGAGTGAGTGGAGCTCAACCCAAAGAACTGTTCTGCAGTCGTGGATGACCAGAGCTGGATCTGCTGCTTGATAGGATGACAGGAGAGAAGCTGAAGGTGCTGCTTAGGTGAGAGACTTTGCATGGTTTTTAGTTTAAGCTGTGCTTGGGAAACCAGGTGACAAAGCCCCATAGAGTGGAGAAACAGCTCTTGTCCCCACTTCTGGAAGGCCTCAGAGCCTCTGTGGTGTCTTGGGGCATTCTGGCCTCAGGGGCACTGAGAAATCAATCTTCATGCAAAAGTCCTCAGGCACTGAAAACTGTGAATGCAAGACCCCTGCCCTGGGCTGGGTCCCGAGCTGGTGAGGAAGGACAAGGCCGACTTGGCATGGTCACTGCTGGGATAGGTTTTGTACGCTCTTAAGAGGACCACATCAGGGAATCAAAGAAATAGTTGGGGACTTTTTTCTTTTTTGGCTGGGGGCAGAGGGAGGGTTAGATCTGAGACAACACTGGAAGGGGTTTGGAATTGTCACCTGAGGCAACAATCCAGGGTGACAATCAGAACCCCAGGGTGGTGCAGCGTGTACATGGTGCTCAGATTCTATTCGAGTAACTTGCAAAAAGGATCTGACAAATAATGTCCTTCTCTTCTGCATGGCTCTCAACATGAACACAACTGACCTGAGAATGAATGAAACACCTAGGTGACTCATTTTTACTCTTTTAAAATCTACAATGCAATTTCATTTCATTTTAAAAATTCACAATGACCTATGGAACCTTCACCTCAACAGCTGCCCGGTCTCACCTCTGGCAATACACAGTCCTGGCTACGTGTCTTGGAACACATTTAACTAAATACTTAAAGGCCACCAAGGGTGAGTGGGCTTTGGAGTCAGCAGGGTCAGTGGCCTGATCTGGTTTTAGACTCCTGAGGAATGAACAAAGTAAAATAGTTTGGCGAGACACGACACGACCTCATTGTAGGGGTATTACTTCCACATGCTCTGCTCCACAGTTTTTTGTTGTTATAACAAAGCACTGAAACAAATAACAGGAGCATTTCTATCTTTCCCTCTGCAGGAAGAATGCCTGAGGAGGCTACTGCGCCTGTTCATGTGCCTGCAGGCTGAATGCCCTAAATTCTCCTCCAGAATACCCCACTTCTGCAAGTGTTCATTCCTCAGTTCAGTTACTGGGTGGGACTTCCTACAACAAATCCCTGAGAAATACGTAAAGGAGAAATTAGAAAGAAAAGAACACTCACAATAAGTGCATGGAGTGTAGCCTACGGTGGTGATTTCTTTATCTTTCTGCATCTTAACTACTTCAAATCTCTGGGTCTGGTGGGGAAGGAAAGCAGAGGGTAAGCCCTACCTTGGAGCTGGGGAACCCTCCACCTTCAGGTGGCCGCGCAATGTGTTTAGACAATGCATGAACACTAGATGGCGCCTGTAATCTTAAAACAGTAAAAGGCTAGTTGCCTTTCCCTTATAAACCAGTACGACTACCTTGTAGGAAAAAAATTATAGGAGCTATAAAAATACCGACTCAAGCATTTCCTGCTACTGGAGTCCTGCAAAGTGCTCCTTATGTAAGGGTTTTGTGGTCAAACACGTTTGGGAAAAGTCAAGTACTCTGCCTCTGAAGAGATTCCCAATGCACACTGGTAAACAGATATTTTTGAAAAGTTCTTTAGTGCAGAAACCTGGTACCAGGGAGGACTCCTTGCTCTCAGTAGCAACCTGATACACTCCCGCTGTTCCCGTGCCCAGTATAACACACTTTGGGCAATGCTAGACTGATCCAAGCTCAGTCCCAAAGGAGTAACTCAAACTATATAAAATATGCTTTCTTTAGACATGGTTACCTGACACTTCTTAGCACATCGTGCACATTATTAAGGCCGAGTTGTTCGTAGTAACAACTACTACTTACAATATGGCATATGCTTTAACTATTTTGTCTCCAATTTTTTCCTCTGTATAATTACCATATCTATATATCTATATCCATATCTATGCACTCAGACATATAGTTGATAGATTGACATATCTGCTTTTAGGCTTTGAACATTTTGTGGACAGAATATTTCTCTTATTCATCTTTGAGATTTCAAGTCCTAGTAAAGACTCTGTCACATAGTAAGTTATTAATAAAATAAATTATCTAGGAAAAATCTATAGTCTGGGTGTGTGGGAGAATAAATCTGGAAAATAGGAACAGATATTCTGCCCTTGTTCAGAAAGGTACTTTCTGTCTTTTATTCAAGTCCTTCTTGATGGAGGTCAGATGAGAGCTGAGGTAGGTAGGTTAGGTCTATTAAATGCATTTTCAACTTGCAGTGGGATGTAACCCTATCGTAAATTGAAGGAAGATCTAGTTATTGTTTAAATATAGAAGAAATAGGTGGCAGGGGGAGTGGCTGACTGGGAGACAATCAGATCTGGATGGCAGAACAAAGTCCTGGCATGGGACTTGCCCCTATTTCTCACATACTCAGTGCATCTGGACACCTGCTAGCTGATGAGTGAGTAGAGGTCTGAATGGGTGGGAGAACTGTAGGAACATGTAAGGCAGAGCTATCCGTACAGACCACTGGACACTTTGCTCAGGACAATAGACTATGTTTTCATAGGTAAATTGTGTGTGTGTATGTTGGGGCTAGAATGATGACTAACAAATAGAAGGTCCCTTGAAAAATTCTAGCTATAAATCATAGCTATAAAACAAAGACAAATTTTTCTAAGCACACAACAAAAACCACAAACTAAGTGCTCCACTGAGTTATGAACCGTAACCACAGCCATAACAACTGGGTCCCTTATGTGATTCTCCATCATTATTTGCACCATTACCGAAATTCCAGTAATGGTCATGAACACTCACAATGGATTTACACCTGCCATAGAGTTCATACCAAGGAGGTAGCTTGATTTAGTGGCAAGAAACAATAAAAAACTGTTTGAATAAAGGAAAGGAAATAGGAGAAGAAAACAGGAGAAAAAGAAAGACTGGTGAGGAAGGGAAAGAGGGTAAGGTGGGATGGGTATTAAAACTGAATATTTCAATCCCAGATCTGACTCTCTAGTTAGACAGACTTTGGCAAGTTACTTCACCTCTCTGAACTTTATTCTCTTCATCTGAACATGTGACAGTATTTCTCAGGGTGATAGTGAGAATTAAAAATTACTTTTATAAAGTGCTTGGTACATAATAAGTACTTAATAATATTGCCGGTAATTCTTGTATTTAGGTAAATGGTGCTGCTGGTACCATACGTCAAAGTCACTCACCTGTGTATAGTATTATTTTGTGCATTTTCTTAAAGTTATACACAAACTATATACATTTTAAAGAAGTAGTTTTTAAAGTACAGTCATAGATTTTGAAACAAAAAAACACCTGTATTTGAAAAAATAAGTAATATACTTTATGAAGGCAAGATTCTCAATGTTCTACTGGATGCAAATATGGCTCAGAAAATCTGAATGACAACACTAGTACCTTTGCCTGTGCCTGAGGGACGGAAGCAACAAGCATAGGGCACCTGGACACCATTTACACTGCAACACACAACTGAAGACATAAAGCTTTCATTCATTTTTCCTTTCTAACCAAGGTGGTTTTTGGAGTCATAAAGTGACTTTTTCTTGAATGGTGTCAGATGTGTAGGGAGTAAGATTAAAGGGAAATACTCACGGATAGGATCTGGTCTCCTCTCTGGAGCTCCCCACTCAGGTCTGCTGGGCCACCAGCCAGAATGAAGGATACAAAAATACCTTCTCCATCTTCCCCGCCCACGATGTTGAAGCCCAGGCCAGTGGAGCCTTTGTGCAGGACCACCTTGCGGGGCTCCCTGAAGAGACAAGCGGAGAACAGGGCTCACAGGGTGACCCACTCAAGATTGAGGTTGCTTTTATTTTCACTGGAATATATGATACCAGTAATTCACTGCCTACAAATATGGCTTCCCAATGTAAGATCCATTTGCATATTAAGAAAGATGCTAATATCAAGGTGGATGTCTGAGTTCCTTATTTTAACAAATACCAAAATACCCTGCAAAGTCATTCCTTAACCCCAAAACATTGTCTTCAACTAGCCTTACTTCCACTTTTACTTTGTTTAAAACATCTGTTTTCGTATTTTTAAAAAATTGAGGGTATGATTGACATATAACATTATATTAGTTTCAGGTGTACAATGTGATGCTTTGATATTTGGATATATTGCAAAATGATCAACACAAAAAGCCAACATCCACCACCACATACTTAGACAGTTTTGTTGTGATAAGAACTTTTAAGGTCTACTCTCTTAGCAACTTTCAAGTATACAGTATGGTATTATTAACTAAAGTCACTATGCTGTACATTACATCCCCAGGACTTACTCATTTTATAGCTGGAAGTTTGTATCTTTTAGCTACCTTCACCCATCCCACCTACCTCTGCATCCATTTATTAAGCACTACAGCAGTAATCAGTAAGGTGGATGCATGCAAAACAGGGAGAGAATTTGGGGTATGAGAGAAAAAAATTGAAGAGGCCAGATCATGAAAGATCTAGCATGTGAGCCTGCAGATTTGCTGTTTGTTTGATTGTGAGTTAAAATTTACTCTGTAGGCAGTGGGGACTCACTGGAAGATTCTGAGGCACCAAGAATACTTCAGTCCATTTTAGGAAGATTAACGAAGGTCATATGAATGATTGCTGGAGAGGGAAACAGGTAAGATGGGAGGCAGAAAAATCAGGATGTTTACCAAGCAGTCCAGGTTTAAGAAAGTGACACCTCAAACAAGGATGACGGTGTGATAATAAAAGAAAAAGGACAACATGAAAGATGAAATTTGAAGGAAGAAGCAGCAGGTCCAGAGACTGACTGAGGCATTAGAGAAGGAGAACAGGAAGAACTTCTAAGTAATTGGCCAAAGAAGTGGACTCCAGGGTCATGAGGATGACTGTGGCAGTGATATGCTCAATTCCACATAGTGGGACATCCATGCAGAGATGTTCAGAAGCAGTTGGAGACAAAGGATAGGAATTCAGGTCCTTAGAATTGCAAAGGCAGATTTGAGAGTCATCAGAAAAAGATGAGAGATCAAATATTGAGCAGTTTATTGAGTTTGTGTACAGTTCAGAAAATTATGGAATATAGAATGGTAAGGGATCTCAGAAGGAGAAGGAATCTAGTTCTATTTTCTCTATCAGTAGTTTCTTAAGAAATGTACTCTGCAAGCCTTAGATTTGACCAAGGTACCTTTTGTATCACTCACCCACTTCTCCCAAATATCTCAGTTTCAATCATTAAAGCTCCTTTTCTATTTTTCTGCTCTTAGTGATGTAACAATGGCAAAGAGCCATCCAATATATTTTTATATCAATGACTACACAAAGATTCTGCTATTTGCTGTTACATTTCCATGCATAATGCAATGCATTTTATGTTTAGCCTTCTTCTGAGGAAGAGTGTAACATCATAGCTATGACTGAAAGTAACATTACAGTGTGATACACTAAGTCAGAGGTAACTTGACATAGAGTTAATTCACTTTATTTTACAAAATACTTTGTAAGCATCTCCTATACCAGGAACTGTTTCAGGTCCTCCAGAAATTTGAAGCCAAACAAATGACCCTCCTGTTACAGGCTTATATTCTAATGGGGATAAATCACTAATAAGCAATAGATGTAATAAATAAATTTGTTATATAGTATACTAGAAGGCAGTAAGTATTTTGGAGAAAAGGAAAAAGCCGAGCAGTGTAAAAGGTTGTGATAGGGAGGGGTCTGGTAGGACACTGAGAAGATGACATTTGAGGAATGTCTGAAGGGGCAAGGAAACTAGTCACATGGCTAGCTGAAGGAGGAGCATTCTGGACAGCAGGAACAGCACGCAGAGGACTTAATGTGGGAGAGCGCCTGGTGCTCAGGAGGAACTCGGAGGCCAGTGTGGCTGAACTGAGTGAATGAGGGAAGGACGATGGTAAAAGACCAAGTCCGTGCATTGGTTTTATACTGATGAGTAACAAATTAATACTATCTTAGCAGCTTAAAACAACACCCATGATTATCTCTTTAAGTCAGAAGTCTGGGTGGGCTTGTCTAGGTTCTAAGATTTCACAAGGCTGAAGTCCCATGAGCTACACAGCTGGCAAGCTGGAGACCCAGGGTCGCTCATGGTATAGTTTCAGTCCAAGCCAAAGGCCTGAGATCCAGGAGAGCCGCTGGTGTAAATTCCAGTCTGAGTCTGAGTCTGAAGGCAGGAGAGGCCCCACACACCTCTTATTCAGCCCACGGACACCAGCCATCTTATAACTGCCTCTCCTGACTGCTCCCGATGGGGCCGGAAGTCTAGCTATCTGCACAGTCCCGTGGCACTGCACGGGGAGGGGGTGGTTTTTCCTTTTGTATTTGGCTCGGGTAGGTTTCTTGTTCTCTTAGTCCACCTTTTCCCAGTCCTGGGGCTACAGAGGGCAGCCTTTTATTTTCTCTCTGTGCCTGTTGGCGGTTCCAGGATAAAGGCTTCTCCAGATCCCGCTCCCCCAGGATATATGAGAAGTGGAAAGATAATCCAGGGAACTCACTGCAGTGTCATTACTCTCCAAGCCACTCTGAGTTCTTTCCAACTTTTAGAGTCTTCCCATGTTTGTTTTATTATGTCTAAAGTTGTTTTAGTTCTGATTTCTTTTTAATAACAGGGAGGATTAGAGAGGAATGGGGATACTCTATTTTGACTAAAACCAGAAGTCCAGGCTCTGACTATAACTTGAAGGTAGGGGCCAACAGGATTTTGATGAAAGATCTATTGTAGAAATCTCTCTTTCTCAGTATAAGCCACACACGTGTGGTGGGTCCAGTGGCACTGGAGTGATACATAGTAACATTCATGGGCAAAGGGGCTACTGTGATGCTAAAGTTTGATGGTGTCTGTGCATCATTACACTTACTCCTCAAAACAACCCAGTGAATATATACTGACATCTGCAAGTACTTTGATCCCCAAAAGATGGACTGATGACTGGCTAGATGGATAGGTTTCTTGTAGAACAAGTATAATAAAATGTTAAAAGTGGGATCTAGAGGGCTAGCATATGAATGATCATTGTAAAATTCTCCAAATTCCCTTCTGTTAGAAATTTCTTTTACAAAAAGTCTTGAGAAAAATAAACAGTCTGATGAAGAAATTATTATGACAACTTTTTGGATTAGTGGAATGAGACTGTTGACCAAGTTTCTATTGAATTTAAAAAGTAGCAAAAGGCAGGATTAAGACACAGATTTTTTGACTCAAAAATCCCAGAGTTAAGACTATAACATAGTCTAGAGATTGCAAATCAGAAAGCTGAAGGCTTAATGTGACCCACAGTGTTTATACATTTTGATTAATTATGCAAGTTTAAATTTAGGAAAAATTGCACAAAATATAGTTTATGGATTTACATGAAAAAACATATTCTATGAACACTGGCTCTTAATCTCATCTCATAGCAGCAGATCACTAGACAGGCCCCTTTAGGTGGGGCATTCATTTTATAGTTTGCTATTGTTTCACCTCACTTTCATGTTTCTCAGACAAAAAAGTCGTAAGCTGTATCACATTTGCACTTCTTGCAAAGTTAAGAAGAAAGTGAAGTATTTCTTGTATTCATGGTTCTATCAAAAACTGGGAAATAAAAACTTCATGGAGAGAGCCTGTTATTTTAATAAAAAAATGGGAGAGATGATTTCTTTGGGAGTAAGGATTATCTTTACATGTTTAATACCCAAAGTATCTTTAGAAAGAACACAACTTTTGGAGATCATTATGAAACATCATTCCCCAGAGTGCGGGGAGGGATTCAACATGGTGGCAAAACAAGATCCCGAGCTTACCTCCTCCCACAGACACAAACAGACCTACAACTGCAAGTGGAACATTCCCTCAAGGGGACCTACAAACTGGGTGAGCAGAGCCTCCACAACAAGGGACGGCAGGTGCTGAAACAGTAGAAGAGGCAGACAGATGGTCTCACTAAGGAAAAGGATGAGGTGAATACAGAGAGATGCACGCTAAGACACATTATAATCAAAATGTCAAAAATTAAAGATAAAGAGAGAACCTTAAAAGCAGCAAAAAGCAAAAGGCAATTAGTTAAATATTGGGGAAGCCCCCTCTAAGATTAACGATATATTTTACAGCAGAAACTTTGCAGACCAGGAGGGGAGATGAAGTGTTTCCCAGACAAGTAACAGCTAAAGGGAACCCCTCACCACCAAACCAGCTTTATGAGAAATATTAAAGGGACTTCGTCAAGTGGAAAAGTAAAGGCCATAACTAGAAACAAAAAAATATATGAAAGAAAACATCTCACTGGTAAAGGTAGGTAAACATATAGAAAAGGTAGTGGATCAACTACTTCTAAAGCTAGTGTGAAGGCTGAAAGACAAAAGGAGTAAAATCAACTATATCTACAATCATTAGTTAAGGCATGCAAAAAATAAAAAGGTAAAATATGATGTCAAAACCATAAAATGTGGGGGGCACAGGGAGTCAAAATGTAGTCCTTTTAGGATGCAGTCAAACTTAAATGACCACCAGCTGAAAACAGACCGCTGTTTACATAGGCTGTTATATATAAACCTCTCGGTGATGGTAACCACAAACCAAAAATTTATGATACACAAAAACCAAAGAGAAAGCAATTCCCACATACCAAAAAGGAAGCCATCAAATCACAAAGGAGGAGAGCCAGAGGAGAGAGAAAAGGAATAGAGAACTATGAAACAATCGGAAAATAATTTTTTAAATGTCAAAAAATACATGCCTATCAATAATTTAAATGTAAATGGACTAAATGCTGTAATAAAAAAGACA